TTGTCCAGTATACATATGGTGGGGGAAAAGCTTTTTGACCCAGGCAGGCATGTAAGTCTGATTGTTTCCTGAAAAACAGAGGCCTTGCCTGGCCTTTCAATGTGGGACAGGACTCAAGGGTATATTTTTCCTCCCCAGTACAAGATAAAAGTCATAGCCCTTTACTACAGTTTTCTCTTGCTGCTTCTAAAAACTTCCTCCCAGGAGAAGCACATCTGGCCTGCTCTGTTGCAAGCTTTACAAGATTTGCCAAGTCTTTCCTTTTCAAAAAGCCTTTGATTTGCTGGAATGAAATAAGGTCATTATTTGAAAGCTTTCGTGGACAAACTCTTCCTGATTGTTAGTTTCTTGGTTAAATAGATTGCATCCTTTTAATTGTGCAAGCTATCTTAATTGGTTTTCTTTTAATGAGAGGTAGACCATAGGAGAGCTAGCTATACTTAAAAAAAATAGTCATATTAGTCTATAAGGAAAAAAGTCCACACACAACTAGATAATGCTTTATAATAAAGGTAAATTTATTTAATAAAGTTCAATTTACAGGGTTATAACCATGTGTTTTTCTTTCTTACAATATTGTAGGAGCAGAGCGCAAACATTTTAAATAAAATTTCCTAATCAGAAAAGAGGCAACCAGACTGGTCAGTTACAGTACTAAAGTTTTTTTCATTGTATTCTACCAGATAGTTTTTTCAACATCTCAGTTTTGCATATAATTTTAGGATTGTAGAATTTTTAATCAGGATAGAGTTGCGATGCATCAGCATTGTAATTGTTGTTATTTAAATGTGTATTATATGTATATGCTCTCCAAGTTGTCTGGTATTAACTTTCCTGACTTTCAATTTTATCACTGGAGGTATTCAAATTCAACTGCTCTGTTGAATACATGATCACGTTGGGGTGGGGGGAGTCTGTGGGCAGAATTAGAAACCTATAATATGAGCCTAAATTTTAAAAAAAGGTTTTGCACTCTGCAGGCCTCCCAAACCCTCTGTATGCCTCATTTTTTTGAAAAAAAAGAGGGGGGGGGCATGCGGAGCTTTGGGAGGCTTGTAGAGTGCTCCTGGAGGCTGGGGGAGGGGGGGGCAAAAACAAGCATAAATGGCAAATTTTTCAAGAAAACAGGCCATTGGGTGGGGGAAGGACATGCAGAGCTTTGGGAGGTTTCTAGAGTGTTCCTGGGGGCTGGGAGCGGGCGGCACAAGCAAGCAAAAACCGGCCTGTTTTTCGCAAAAATAGCCTGTTTTTTGCAAAAAAAAGGGGGGGCATGCAGAAGTTTTGGGAGGTTTGTAGAGTGTTCCTGGGGGCTGGGAGCGGGCGGCACAAGCAAGCAAAAACCGGCCTGTTTTTCGCAAAAATAGCCTGTTTTTTGCAAAAAAAAGGGGGGGCATGCAGAAGTTTTGGGAGGTTTGTAGAGTGTTCCTGGGGGCTGGGGGGGGGGAGGAAATGTTGTTTGCTCGTTTTTGTTTACCCAGCCCCCAGGAGCACTTTGCAAGCCTCCCAAACCCTCTGCACGACCATTTTTGCAAAGGGAATGGGGTTTTGGTAGGCCAAAAAAGCTGTATTCAATGTATAAGATGCACCCAGATTTTCACCCTCTTTTATGGGCAAAAAAGGTGTGTCTTATACTCTGAAAAATAGGTAATTGTTCTTATCAGTTAAAGTTTTAGAAACAATATTTCGAAAAGAATTTGGAATGTATAAAGTTGACAGCACACTCAATTAAATATCTATTGATTCAATAATTTGGCCCAGATCCATTTGTAGTCTTCAGAACTCCTAAATTACTATAGGTTTTGAAGGCATTTTAGAAGATTCTAAGAAATCTATGGTATTTTGTATCAAAATTGCACCATGGTTGATGTTGATTACTTGTAAAACTTAGAATATGGTTGGAATATCCCACATTAACAAATAAAGGGCTAAGGATGTTAAAGAATTTTAAGAATATTTCTTCTGGCCTTAAGGAGAGAATAATTCAGGAATAAAAGAATTACCTCTCAAAGAATACATTTCTCAAGTGTGTTTGTTAGAAGATTGAATAAAGAATATGGGGCTTCGCTATGCTAGATCTAATCTTTCCTAACAGGAAATAATTAACGAAATGGTAACAGGAGAAAGTGAAAGTCATTTTGGAAAAAGTGACTGTGTTATCCTTCCATTCAGGATATCAAGGGGGGGAGGAATAGGGGAGATTCAGATTGCATACTGGATTTCATAAAACCAGATTTGATGAACTCAAATGGGAAATAAATTAGATCCAATGATGTGAAATCATAAAGGAGAAAAAAATAGAATTATGGGAAATGCAATTAAATGAAATAAGGTGATGTAGATTATTCTTATAACAAATAAGGTGGTATAGATTATTCTTAAAAGACCAGTATAACTATACAAAGAGGTTTCTAAAATGCTACATACAGAAAATGGGCAGGAATAGAAATGTATAGAAAAACCAAAACTGTGCAAGCAATAGTGTTCCCTGTATATATGATAGAAGAAAAGTTAGGCTTTGAAGATGCAGTATTCTTCCTCCTGTTACCATTTCGTTAATTATTTCCTGTTAGGAAAGATTAGATCTAGCATAGCAAAGAGAGACCGCCTCCTGCCAATTACCTCCCTACGACCTATTAGATCTCACAGATTAGGCCTCCTCCGAGTTCCATCTGCCAGTCAGTGTCGACTGGCAACTACGCGGAGGAGAGCCTTTTCAGTAGTAGCTCCGACCCTTTGGAACGATCTCCCTGTGGAGATTCGTACCCTCACCACCCTCCAGACCTTCCGCACAGCCCTCAAGATCTGGCTATCCCGTCAGGCCTGGGGTTAAAGATTATAATCCGCCCCCACCCGAATGATGAATGTTGTTTCTATTTTTAATTATGTATTGTCTTTATACGTCATTGTGTGTATTCCCCTGCCCCATAAGTTGTAAGCCGCCCTGAGTCCCCTCAGGGAAAAGGGCGGCCTATAAATAAACTTATCATATTATATCATATCATCATATCATATCATGGAAAGAATATTGATATTTTGAATGTTGGTGTTGAAGCTCCTGAAAATACAATGGATAGCCAAGAAAACAAATGGATCATTGAATAAGTCAATCAAGAGTCCAGGTTTGAGCACAGATGTCCAGGCTCAAATTATCCTATTTTGTACATATTATGTGAAGACCTAGCTCCCTGGAGATGGCTTTAATGCTGAGGAAGGTGGAAGAAAAAGGACAGCCAATAGCAAAATAGATAAACTCAGTTGCAGATAGGTGTACTGAAAGAGACTTGAAAGTCCAGGTTAGAAATAAGTAATCATAGAAAAGGTCTTGGTTTGTGATTGCTAAGAGTTAATAATGACATGATGGCTCACAGTCAATTGATGTATTGCAAATGGAAAGAGTGTAAAAGAAGATACAAGATAATTTCCAGAGATTGCAGAGATTATTTCAGAAAGAGTGCAGCTCACAATAATCTCACAAAATGACCATAACAACAGCAGTAGCAACAAAGACTTCAAAAAGTGGGGAGACTATGTCAGAAACAAAGAGATCTGACTTTTTTCATAAGCTTTAGCTAGCCATCATCATGCCAAGATTGGAAGAAGGTGGCTGTAACAGACAAAGGTAAAAGTAAAAGTACAAACATAAATGAATCCAGGGCCAAATGAATTATGTCCTAGAATATTGAAAGGATTAGTGTAGTAATCACAGAATATTTAAGAACTCCTGGAGAACTGATGATGTCCTAGAAGACTATAAAGCAACAAATTAAGTTCCTATCTTCGCTCGACTAAACCGCGCTCGACGAAACTGCGTAGCTGACGTCATCAACAGGGCGACAACAGCGCGGAGACAGAAGCACGCTGTAAACGCTAAACCTAAAATTAACACCTAAACCTAAACCTAACCCCCCTAAACCTAACCCTTAACCTAACCCTAACCCTTAACCTAACCCTAAACCTAACCCTAATCCTTAACCTAACCCTAAACCTAACCCTAAACCTAACCCTAAACCTAACCCTTACCTTAAGTTGAATCGGCTTGCTTTCAAAGTGCTATTTAAAGCGCCCTTCTTTCTCCGCACTGGCTGTCGCCCTGTTGATGACGTCAGCAACACGGTTTAATCGGGCGCGGCTTAGTCGAGCGCGGTTTTGACGGGTCACGCCTATCTTCAAGTAAGAGAAAAGGACCTGCGAAATTACATGCAGTCCATACTGAGCAAGCTGTTTGTGCAGATTATTAAACAGCATGTTTATCAGCATTTGAATAGGAATAAAAATCAACAAAAGCCAGCATGAATTTGTTACAAAGAAGCCATGCTAGGCTACCTTTATTCCAGTGGTGGCTTTCCATTTTTTTGCTCGTGCATGCACGCTCGCTTGAACAGAAGTGTCCAGGTGAATGGAGCCTCTCGCTGCCGCCACTACTGGTACGCTTGATCTGGGCTGAACTGGAAGCAACCCACCTGTGCTTTATTCACTCCAAATATTATTTTGGTTTGAACAAATATATTAGTACAAACGTACTAATATTAATAGGTTGGGGAAGTGCTTTGGACATAATGTCTGCTTAGACAGTAATATGATGCAATAGGGGTCTATTTTGGGCCCTATTCTTTTCAATATTTTCTTAATTATCTTGATGAAGGGGGTTGAGAGGATGATTAATAAATATGCAGAAGGTACAAAACCAAGATGCATGGCTAACACTAAACAGTCTTGAATAGTGTGCTGAAACAAATAGTGAACTTTGACAGGTATTGCAAAGTCTGAGAGAGAGAAAAAATGAAAGGCACTAATATAGGATTGGGGAGACAAGTAATGGAGTAATGCTGTATTATTAATTTCAGTCGTATCTGTGAAAAGATTTAAATATTCAAGCAGATCACAAGTTGAAAATAAACTAGCAAAATGATGCTGAAAAGACAAATGCTCTTTGAGAATGTGTTAACAGGAGCATGGAATCCAGAGATTGGAAAATAATTATCCCACCCTATCTTCTTTAGGCCCCACTTAGGACGGTTTGGACACTACAATTCCAAAAGAACATCAATAAATTGGAGGAAATCCAAAGGAAGGCTACCAAGATGTGAAGGACCTGAAAAGTAAGTCCGATGAGGAAACAATTAAAACAACTGGTATGTTTAATCCACACCACAGTAGACTGAGAAAACATAACAACTCCTTTCAAGTTATCTAAAATGGCTATTACACAAAAGAAAAAGTAGATTTCTCATTTATCAAGGTTATGGTTGTACCAAAGGTGCTTTTCCAAAAGACAACTTGACTTTGTTTTTCCAAGTTCAGTTTCCTTTTGAAAAAGTACCTTTGGGACAAAGAGTGGACTTGTTCTCTATTGCCCCAGAGGAGAAACCAGAACCAATGGGATGATACTATAAGAAAGTAGATTCAGGTAGCTATTATGAGAAATGACCAGATACTAAGAGCTTTCAACCACAGAAATAGGTTGTTTCATGAAGTCATATATTTCTCCTCACTGGTGGTCTTCTGAGAGAGATTGAATAGCTATCTATTCAAAATTCTGTAGATTCTGCAATGAGCATGTAGTTTTCCTTCCTCCTCCCCTACTAGGGCATAAGAAAGCAAAGGTACATGGGAAGGACTCAGATGGACAAAAATGCTAAATCTAGGCTAAACATCTGATTGATTGTGTGACCAACCATAATGATGGCGTAACCTGCTACAATTGAAGCACACAGCTTATACTTTCTAAATACTAAATATTATAATTGTGAGGATTGTACAGTATCATGCACATACTCTCCAACATCTGTATAATTCATTAATTTGAAGTAAGAGCTTGATTACAAAAATGGTTAAGCAACATTCATCTTTAAGATAGCTAAAATACCAATAGGATTTTAAGTTTCAATGGCAGTTCTTCACCTTCAATTCCTTGTTGACTCCTGGCGACAGGTTGGACCAGTTCCTGTAGTTTTCGTGGAAAAACTTTCAAAAGTGGTTTGCCATTGCTTTCTTCCTAGGGCTGAGAGAGAGTGACTGGTTCAAAGCCACCAAGCTGATTTAACATTTAAGGCAAGAGTAGATTTTACAGTCTCCCAGTTTCTACCCTGATTTCTTAACCATTACCTCAAACTGGTTCTTTATTCTTTCATTCTGAAAAAAGAACTAGTGTTGATCTTCTTGGATATGCAAAAAGCCTTTGACAATATGGATTGGGAATTTATGACACTACAATTAAAATGTATGGACTTTGGTGAAAACTTCATAAATACGAACCAAGCAATATATTCCAAAAAATGGTGAAAGTATTAATAAAAGGTGATAGAAAATTTTAACATAATCAAGGGCACAAAGATGTCCATTAAACCCTTTATTAATTATATTAACTTTGGAAGTCTTGCTCAGAAAAATCAGACAAGATCCAGAAATAAAAGGTTTGGAAATAAAAAAAGAAAAGTGCGAAGTACAAGCATTTGCAGATGACCTAGTATTTATTTTAGAGGAACCCCTAGAAATGGGATCCAAACTAATAAAAAGAATAGAAGAGTTTGGTGAGGTGGCAGGACTAAAAATAAACAAGGAAAAGACTAAGATGTTGACAAAGAATCTCACAAATAAGCAGAAAAATGAACTGACAAAAAACATGGACATGCAGATAACTAAAAATGTTAAATATTTAGGAATCTGGTTAACAGCAAGATATATAACCATAAAAGAAGACAACTACATTAAATTAATACAACAAATAAAGACAATTTGGAAAAATGGAGAAATCTACAGTTGTCCTAAAGATATCCTAACGAACAACGAGACTTAAAATCAAGACAGGAACTAAAAAATCAAGGAATTGATTTGGACTGGTGGTTATATATCCAAATACAAACAAGATAAAAGAAAGATGTAGAAACATATGGATTCTACAAAGTACCCTTAGAATAAGATCCAATATTTCTGGGGACAGATGATAAATTAATAAAGAAAATATATAGTTATCTACTGAATTTTAAAATGGAAGAAGAGTATGTAAAAGAAACTATGATTGTATAGGCTAAACTTTTTGGCTATACTATAGCATTGATGGCTAAACCTTTTGCCATCACATGCCAAAAGTGGGGGGAGTGCAAGGGAGTTGTGCATGGGTGTGCCCACACTCTTAATTCTGTGCATGCAACCCCCGCTTTCCCCCCACTTTTTGCACACGATAGGCCCGTTTTTCACTCTCCCCAGGCTCCAGAGGTTTTCTAGGAGCCTAGGGAGGGTGAAAACCACCTTCTTCTCCAAGGCCCTCCGGAGGCTTTAGGTGGCTTCCTTGAAGCCTCCAGAGGGTGAAAAAGAGCCCTATGGGTAACCCAGAAGTCCATTCCAAAACTTCTGGGTTACCCATAGGGGCACTTTTCGCCTTCCAGAGGCTTCAGGGAAGCCTCCTGAAGGCGAAAAACAGCCCAACAGGTAAACTGGAAGTTTGGGAACGGACTTCCATGTTCCCTGAAGCCTCTGAAGGGCAGAAAATGGCCAAAAATGAAGTCTGAAGTCAGTTGGCCAACGTGTGCATGTAAGCTGGAGCTGACAGGGCAACACCTCATGTGCCCTAACAAATGGCTATGCGTGCCACTATGTGTGCCACAGGTTCACCATCATGTTACTATAGAATTAGATAATTGGCAACATCTATGAAAGAAACTACAAACTAATTATGTCAACAACATATAAAGAAAATCTTTACAAAATGTTCTGCAAATGGTATTTGCCATCAGCAAGAATAGCAAAGATGTTCTAAAACATATTGCCAGAGTGCTGGAAATGTAAACAGATACCGGGTTCCTATTACCATATCGGGTGGACTTGTCCAATGGTGAAAAAATATTGGTTAAAGATAAAAAAGTGGTTAGAAGAAATGACAACATAACAAATAGATCTAAAACCAGAATTGTTTTTACTTGTTATATTACTGGGAAAATACAATAAAAGAATTAGATATTTAATATTACATGTGATAACGGCAGCAAGAATTATGTATGCAAAAAATTGGAAAATGGAAATATACCTATAGATGAAAATGTAATAAAGAAAATATTATACTGTGCCGAAATGGATAGGTTAATGATGAAAATTAAGGATAAAGAGGAAACAGAGTACTATTTAACTTGGGACCAACTTTATAAATGGTTGGAAGATAGAAACAAAAGTTAGTAATTTATAATTAAGGATAATAATATCATAAGTAACATTTGATTATATATTAAATTGTATAGGGTAATTACAAGGGAAGATTATATTGTAAGTATTATGAGAATAATGGTTATAATTATGGTGTGTATAAAATTATGTGTATTCAAAAGAGAGTTGCAAAAATGGAAACGTATAACAAAGAAAAATGCCTAATAAAAATATTTTTTTTAAAACTTGCTCTTTAAAGCTCTTATAAGTAATACAAATACATTAAAATATTAAAATTGAATATGATCACAAAGTCATACGTTCTCAGAATTATCATAGAACACACTTAGTTCTTCTGCTATTATTCCTCTCAAAGATGGCAGAAAAAATAATGAAATTCATTTAATTTCATGTAAGAAGGGAGTATAATGCAAGCACTAGATTGGCACTGAGCATAGGTACAAAGTTTTTTTATGAACCAAAACAGTAATAAACAACTTTTTTCTGTCTGAGAACACTTTTCTAAATGGGAGAGTGCTGTGACATCACCAAAAAGGGTGATGAACATTTCTGGTTGAAAAACTTTTTTATGTTTTGGCCAGTTTTAATGACTCAGGGGATTTGAAAGAGGGACCAGATCATTTCACTATCTATTGATATTGCATTTCTGCTTCCACTCATATTCTAGTTTATTTTTTTAATTTCAACTTAAAATTATTGAAATTTGACTTTTTCATCCAAATTTTGGTGATTCCTTTAATATCTATCCTTAAAGTGCTGGAACTGTGTGTAATTCACAGGTTACATATTCTTGAGATAAAGCAAAAGCAGGAAGATATAGATGCAAACATCTGAATTTTGCTTACACTAGCATGGTTCCTTGGATGATACTATAGCTGATCATCTAAGTGATGGCAGGCTACATATAGGACAATGTTAAGTATAAAATACATTTGTGTTTTCAGTTGAAATGATTTCCTATATTGAACAATGATCAAAACACCAGCCTGGACATCTCTGGGATAAGTAGCAATTCTATAGAATTGCCAGAATTCTACAAATAATACTTCTAGTATGATTAGTTTTTTAAAAAAACCCTTTCATTATACAGTAAGAAGCCAAAATGCCAATTAGTTTAGCCATGAAATGGGCACTGTGGAAAATTAACAATTGCCAACAATTCAGCATCGCTAGGCCCAATCAGAAATGTGTCATATGTCATTAAAATGACTGAAACATTATTTGAAAATATTTTAAATTGTTGACAAAGGGAATTTTGTTGTTACTGTTGGTTTTGTTGATGGTTTTGTGTACCATCTTGTTAGAGAAAATTGATCTTTTTCTTAAGACTTGTCGTTACTAGCCTGAACTGCTATCATGTGATTATTGTTACTGTTACTGAAGATATTGTTTTAATCTGATCAAATCTCTAGCATAGCTTTGTGCGTTTTGATCAGAGTGTATATTTCCTCTCTGCTTCTCAAACAGAGATCTGGTTACTGAACAGTCTCATGGAACTCTTCCTTCAAACCCAAACAGCCAGTTCTTCTATTCAAGCTCGTCATTCTGTCAGCTGGAAATAAATCTTGCTTTCACAAGTCCAGTGAGCAGTTCCAGATTGTCAGTAAGGCTATAAACATGGTAGATGTTCATCCAAATATTTGTGCATCTGTTCAGTCAGTTCTACTATTTCATGCTCAGGTGTGTTGAACAACCCATTTCTGCTGTTAGTTTCAATTAGTATAATTTAAACCATCTACTCATTCCTCCCACTCTCCCATAGCTTAGACCCAGAAGATACCAGTTCTAGCTTTGATAGATAAATTGGGTAGCTATGTCGGTTGATGATTTATACTGCCTCACTTCCTCAGCTATAAAAAGCAGTCGAGTGGTGACAAGCTTTGAAGCACACAGAGGCAATTCCCGAATAGCATGCCTCCAAAGCAA